GAATACATTTCTTTTACCTCATTCGTCGTACTATTGCAGACGTAATTAACCACAAAGATTCTCGTCAAATATTGACAAATACATAAAATCAATATAACAAATTGCAAAGTCATGTTCATTAAGCCAGATATTTCTTTCGTGTATTTTTCATAAAAATCGTATAAGGAAAATGTAGCACTCAAAACGCATATTGCAATTTCTAATGATATTTGTATACCGTACATTTTACTAAAATTTTTAGAAATTCTGTATAATTCCAGATGTACTTGCCTAAAAATACACACACACTCAACTATATATTTCATGGATTATTTAAATAATTTTTTTAAATTATATTTACATATAACTTATGTAAATATGTATTATTAAAAATATGAAAATTTATTACATATATTATATATATTATAGTATATTTATAAAATTTATAAATACTATTTTAATTATTAGTCTCACACGCACCTGATCGTTCGTAAAAGTAATTTACTTCTCTTCAATTTATAATTAGAAACTTGCAGCTTGGACTGCGTTTGACGTTTTGACGAATATACGGATGTAAATAATTTTTTCGAATTTACAGGAAGTGATCGTTCGATGTATAAAGAACCATCTTTGCGATCAATTATTTCGGATGCGATAGAAGAAATTGGTAAAATACTAACGTCACTTAGAAGTTCGTTTCCACGTTGAAATTCTGATTTAATGCACCTATGCGTTTCGAAGAGTTTTCATAAACAATATAAGAAATTCTTAAGAGAATAATTATGATCATTACGTACCTTACAACACTAATAAAATAAATCATCGATATATATTGCACCAAAGAACCATACAAATGTAAAATTACACAGGAATATATAAAAAAAATACTGATTTTATTAGGGGTTGCATGTGAAATCATTCCAGCGGCGATTGTTATGGTCAATATAAACGTGTAAATGAAAACAATCGTAATTTCATATATCGTTTTTTTATGCATGTTGCTGAAATATGACGACGATCCTAATCTTTGAAGCGTCTTGTCGATCTCGTTTATTCTTTTTTCACATATTTTTGATGACTGCATATATATAATTTGATTCCCAAAAMATTAATTTATATTATTTCATATATATTAGAATTATTAATACTAATTTATTATAAATATATCTTATTGTGTGTTAGACTTACGTTACTATGATATAATCCAAATAAAAGTTGTATAAGTAACACAATGGAAGTAACAATCGTATAAATGTATCTTATATATCCATCAATATTATTCTTTCTTAATATTATAATTTTGTTTTCCGGATGAGTCCAACAAAAATGAGACAGAGCAAACAATGACATCGAATAAATGAAACTAAATATCGGTCGCGAATGATCGCGTGGAAATTCGAACACGCGTAATCCAAAGATAGTACGTAAAATGTAAATCGGTCGTAATACGTCGTATACACTTTTCGATGGAATTTTCTTGATTTTAGATGTTTTATTAACTTTTCCCTTTGTTATAAACATTTCTATTAAATTTATCATTGCAACTTTGCCGTCTTTGCGGATTCTCCGCAACCGGAACACGTATTTTGTGTTTTATCGATATGTACAATTGAAAATACAACAGCTTTAGTTAGTATTGTCTTTTTTCTTGTTTTTTTATGCAATAAAAAACACAAAGGAAGTTCGATGAGACGTCTTCGAAGGATGTTATAGTAATGCGTACGATTTTCTCGAATGCGACGCTAAAAGACTCGCGTAGTTGATTACTTTTTGCGTTTGATCAATATCTACCATTCTATCGAATAATTTATAACATCGCAAATACAATCGAAAGGACAAATAAACGTATGCACCTAGAGTAGTTCATATATGATAAATATCTTGGTCGAAAAATCATATTAAAAAGAAGCGTGTATAAAAGATACGATAACAAGATTAAAAATACATTTCGTGCTATCGAAAAAGCATGTAAGGAAAATTAAAAAAGTACACTTATTCCAAAAATAGGTGTAAAGAAAGAAATGAAATTACAATGTAATGTTTCTGAAATGTTCATAATAACATGTAATTTCTCTACAAAATAAGCTTATTGATTAGTTTTCTATTATTAGTTTTATTGGAAAGAATAAAAGCTCATTATATTTTTTAATAGTAATATATTTATCATTTATATAATTAACGATAGTAAACAGTGTCATAGTGTACAATAATAAAAAATAATTGTGCACTTGGTATAAAAACGAAATACAGGTGTTGCATATTTACCATGAATATATAACAGTAACAAATTAATATTGTTAGACGTCTTTTATAATAATCAATAATTAGTTGATTCCGAAGAATTGGGATAGAAAATTCGGATTGGTGTTCCACCGATTTGAATGAGAATAACGAGATAAGTTGTAACCCCACCGATTACCTAAAAAATATCCAAAAATATCCAATACTTTAATGATCTATTATTTAAACGTGATCCTTAAAAATCAATACAATAACAATTACAATTTTGATACGTACACTATAAAACAGACTATTGTTGAGGTCGAAAAAACCACAAGCGGTAAATGACAGTGGATTCTGAACAAGTTGCAAGGTGAAATTGTAAACCTTAAAACGAAAAAACGTATCGTAAGCAAATTCTAATCGATTTAACGTAAAAAATGCGACAATTAATTATTACCTCTTGACGAAATTCCATGCTAGTTGACGGTTCGTGCATTTCGCAAAGAATATCTCCCGTATTCGTTGCATGTAACAAAAAATAAACGATATATAAATAATAATCTTGTTACTATTGCTTTTGTGAAACTTTTAGATAAAATAGTTATTTTAAATAAAAAACGTAAGAACTAAATAAGAAATATTTAAGTAACATACCTCGGTTGCAGTTGATGAACATACGTAGCATACTATCAAAATCCTGAATACATAATAAATAGTCAAACACGAATAAACCAAAGTTATATATATATGTTGACGATAGTTCATGGATTTTATATAATAGTACTGATTGTAGGTCGATGCTGTGATTAAAATAAAACTTGCTGATACTGACATTAAATTATGTAAACCATAAGCATCGTTTATATTCCTCGCACACTTTATTAATTCCAGATGTATTTCCCTTAAACAGAAAATATATTTTATTTATATTTATTTCTAATAATTCTTTTCATAAAATCTTATTACTCAGGACTTCCCAAATAATGTAAACTTTAGGATAATTGTCTCATAAAAATATTATTATACCTAATTTTTTTTAATTGTATAGTATTTTCTTCCGATTTATATGCTCCATGAATATCAAATACACGAGAATCATTATTCCAAAATTCAAAGATTCTTTTATGTTGTGGCAAATCGATAGTGGTATTTAGCATACTTTTTAATAGTATATTCAATTGATTAAATTTTATTTTGATATATCTATTGAAGAGTATATATAGGGTTAATGAAAAGATTTGACAATTATTTAATTATTTTGTGTAATATAATTAACAATTTTCTTGCCTTATCCAGAATATAAAAGTAGTATCTGCAATTAATAATAAGAAAAAGGGAATTCTTCTAAGATAAATGTAAATAGAAATTTGCCAAAAATTATAATTAATATATTCTAATGATCGAAAACTCATAAATATCATAGAAATGGATATAAAAGTTAATAATATCACTAAGTAACACTGTTGTTTAAAACATTTAGGCCAATTCATTGGTATATTCAATTTATTCATATTTCGATTACAGATGTCCACTTGTAACATAATTCGTCTTGTTTTCTACAAAAGATAAAATAAAAGTCATTCTAATCTATATAAATGAAATACTTGAAAATAATATGACAAAATCTTACCTTTCTTCTTAAAATCCCAGCAATATTCGTAAATAAATAAAGTATGAAATCGACGTATCTGTAGATTTTATACATTGTTTTCGCAAAAGTCGGTATGTTTTGTTTAAAATAATACGAAGAATGAAATGGATATTGTAAGAATATCAGTACATACATAATGTTGGAAAATAAAACATAAATTATACCAATCGCGTTTATTTTATTATCGAAGTAATATTCCGCTAAACCGGTCGTAAAAATAGAATTTAATATTACCAATGGTTTAATGCTACGTCGAAATTCTTTCGATAGAAACATTTCTACGATAAATTCTCCGATAAAAGAACTTTTATTTCTTTTTTTTCTTAATCGAAGACACCAAATATTTTCATCAACTTCACTGATCGTTGATCGAACATCGAATTTTGCATTGGAAATTTAAATTTGCTGTTTAAAACTTTAATTTGTTAATAATAATTACGAACTTGGTTTTATAGGGTTCGTTTATAATGAAGGGAATATAGGAATATTCTGTGAGAAGTTTTCCAATGACACTACTAATGTTCAACGTATTGCTTGCATTATATTTACCTTGGTATAGAATATTTTTTGTTAATCATGCTAGCGTAGATAATTAATAGAATTACCCTTTATTCTTTTGTCTTTTTTCTAGTTAAAAGGTACTAAAGGGAATTGAGTTTTTTCCGTATAGAAATGAATAAGAAATTATTTATTAGAAAAGTAATATCTTCTCTTTTATTCTCTCTTCTTTCCATATTTTTTTTCTTTCGTTAACATGCAATATGTAGATAGATATAATGAAAAACGTAGCATAATATTATTTGATGTAATGTCTATAATATTCGTTTCATTTTTTATTCTTTATTTATAATATATAATTCTCCTATATATGAAGAAACTTTTTAATAAAGTTGAAAAGTTTTCACGTTTCAATTCGAATATTGTTTTTTACGTATGAAAATGAATTCTTTAAGTATGTAAATTAGAATAGCAGTAATAAAAATAATTAAAGAATAAAAATGAATAAAACTTGTACAATGAAAT